TATGTATGTATGTATCTATGTATGTATGTACATATATATAGTCGACTCTCCCATCGAGATTCAACGTATGAGGGTCAAGCAGATCAGTTTCCAGAAAACCGACAGCCCAACACCAGCACATGAAATTTGATTATAGTGATGAAGGCTTTGTGCAGGACCATCCACACTTTTTGAAGGGACGAATACAGAGACCTGGTGCACCGAGTGCCACAAGGTTCCCAAACAACCCTCCGCAGGTTTTGAATTCAGAGTTGTCCTTCTCCTAGACCAGTTGCCATCCAAGGCTATAGAACCAAGTCTGTCCTGCTATTTTACCCATAGCTGGAGAGAGAGGAAGAGGATTCATACCTTTCCCAAGGGTATTAGCACATAAGTGAATGTAATGGATTCGACTGGAATTCGAACTCGGCTCTGCGATTCCTCAATCCAAGCCACTATCCATTACTCCACTGTGCCTCGTATATATATATATATATATATATATATATATATATATATATATATAAATGGGTGTGTGTCCAAGTTGAGACCTGGGTTCAAATCTCACCATGCCTGTTTTGTCAGGAAGGAGACTTGCTGATGTTATCAATCTGGAGGGTGACAATCCCAGCATGCGGTAACTTTGGAATGTGCCTGAAAACTAAGCCATGGGTTAACCCAAGCCTTGTGAATGAAATTGGGTAGGCAGAACACTTGAGGGACTATCGATAGCTGTGCTAGCACAAAGCCACAAGTCATCATGACTGAGGGTTTGAGTGTGCTGGCCTTGTTCAGATTGCTGATCATGCTAGATAACACACTTTCTCCCAGAAACTGTAACTAAAATCTGCTCAGCATAGTTGCAGTATAAACCACAGGTGGGCTCTGTGGGTGTTGAACAAGCACAAATCTGCCTGAGCAAGCATCTGAATTAGGGATTGGCTATCCGGCCTAGTAGACAAGTATCCTTGAATATGAGTGGCCCACTATTATTATGATATATATATATATATATATATATATATACATAGAGAGAAAGAGATAGAGTTTAAAATTTTCTATATTTATAGGGTAAGCATGAGAATAGTGCATTTAGAGATAAAGTGCAGACATATGGATCAACACTTCATCATGACTAACTTTCATGCAGTGGTGTATTCTTCAACTTAATCTTGCTATGAAGATCACAAAGTCACTGGCGGGGTGGTAGCACCTGTTAGGGTCCCAGCTATGGGCAAATAGTTAACACCCAAACTTGTGTAAAAATAGGTTTTAATACCAGAAATACATTATAATAAAAAAAATTATTACCAGCAATAATTTTTGAAGGAAAAATTATTATCAGCAATACTTTTAAAAAAATACCAGCAATACAAACAGCTATACATTCTTTGAAAAAAATATGACCAGCTATAGATTTCTTCAAGAAAAAATATTCCCAGAAATAGATTCCTAGAAAAACATTACCAGCAATAAAAATTTTGTCGGCATTAAATTACCCATTGAGGTTGATATACCGTAAAACAAAACCAAACAAACCAACCAAAGTCACTGGTGTTGTCTATATATAAAATAGTTTTTTTTCATTGAAAACTCTCTATTTAACAATAATTTTATGCTTCTGGTATTAGTTTAGTGTAAATGAATAATGGCATTATTTTTGGGAGTGACCTTTAATTATTCCACAATTTAATCATAAAAAAGCCTTTACTTACATGACAAATATTTTTCAGCATAATCTCCTTCCTTGTCAGTTCAGTGGTGATTATCAATGACATTGTTCAAACATTATACACTGAAAATTTCATATAAAAATTCAGGTAATAACAAGCATTAAACTTGTATGCATGATTCTTACCAAACGTTTTGAGGAATTTGACTACAAAAATTATTACTCCCCTAGTTCTCACCATGCTCTTTAAAAGATTTAACAAGATGCTGATACTATTGTGATGCTCACAAAGAGCTGCAGCTTAAATCTGTATCTACATATCTATATGTTCATATGTGTATATATGCATGCATAAATAGTTTAGCCATCATATATTTCATGTCAGTCACTGTTATAAAGCTGTTTAGAAATTTTGAAAATATAGAGATAATTATTTGATTTTATCTTAAAGGTCAAACTCTATTCAGTCAGATCCTCTGAAATGTACTCACCAAAAATTATTCTTCTTGCAAAAATGAATCATATTTAACCTCAAAGAAACTGAAAGAGAAATAGGCCATATGTTGAATTAATGAACATTAGCCTATTTTTAGTAAAAATAAATTTAAATATTTATAAATATATTTTTCTCATGTAAAATGACTCAACAGTTAAAGATAGTTTAGTTTTACAGAAACAGAATACAAGTTTTCTAAATTATGTAATTAGAAGACTTGGATATATACACACACACACACACATATATATATATATATATATATATATATATGTATATAATGTGGGAGTCTGGAAGGATCATGTGTATGGACATCTTCCAAGCATTTAGATAAAGTTTATCTCACTGTACATTGTAATGTCTGCTCATTTTTGAGAAAGTGGAGTAGAAACATTTTAATAAAAGTATTAAAATAAATAATAAAGTAATACAGAAAAGAAATTAGCATTTTTTAATCTGCCTGCTCAAGAACTAAGTGAAGCATCAACTGCAAAATAAGAGGTAAGTATTTTGCACTATAGACAGGTTTAAATATACTCAGAGGTTAATTCTGCATATAAATAATCTAAAGAGGTTTTCTTATAATGAAAAATTAGTCTCAGAATGAGTTTGATCTTTACTGGGTGCCTCACAATTGTAACTATACTTCTTCTATGCACCATGTCCATTCAAGACATCGGCCATAATGACTCTTCACAATTTCCTATTTACTGTATCTCTTAATAAATTTTGTCTTTTTGTTATCTTTCCTAAACTTTGCTCCACCATTTATTTACTCAAGCTTGCTAGGTATGTTATGCATTCTTTTCCCCTGCCCCTCTTGCCTTCAGGTTTACAGACATATCATATTAAACACCAAAGTTAAGCAACACTGAGTCTGCTCAGTAACTAAATGAGTGACACTTTGGGAAAAGCATGTGCTGTAAGCTTGGATGTGCAGGTAGTGTAATGAATGATGGTTCATGATTGTTAATCAGTGAGCCAAGTTCCAATTCCAGTTGAGTTTGTTATATTCACTTAAACACAAATACTCTTGGGAAATGTATGAATCCACCTCCTCTCCCCCATTTATGAGTTAATTAGTAAAACTTGTATTACTAAAATCATTGTTATCTCCAAAAATAAAATAGTGTACAAAATATTTAGATTTCAGCATGAAATAAGACATAGAGTTTGATATGCCACTAAACAAAAACAACAAAACAATCTTGCCTTCAATATGTCCTGTGAGTTTCAAAATTTCTGAGCCCTCTTTCCTCATTGTTTCTTAGAAATTTCAACTCTCTCTTTTTGAAGTTAAGTATAAATGTCCTTTTTGTTTCTATTTTCTCTAAAACTTTGTCATTGCTCATATGTTGGGTTCATGGTGTTTTCAGCATCCTTCTGTAGAACCACTTCTCTATTGCTGCAAGTCATTTGTGAAGAGATTGTTCAGCATTTACTGCCATATACAAGTTCTGATATTACATAACAGTTCCATAATCTTTTCTTTGTATCTAATGAAATTTTTGTTTCTTAATACTTTGATTTATGCATTGACAGCACAAAGTACAGATAAAACTATATACTAGACTAATATAAACTTTTCCTATTTACTGTATCTCTTAAAATACCTTTATAACTGATCTAAATTTGATTTTGCACCATATTTTAAGTCTCTATAATTTTACAAAGAATATTTTATCAATCCATTTCGATCAAGTATTAGAAATCTAATAGAAAATCAGGTAGACAAATGAATGAAAACAATATAGACAAACTTACTTTAATAAACTTTGTGTTTCTACCTGTTTTCTATCATTTCCTTTCCATCTTTATTTTCATTTTTCCATTCATTCATTCACTTGCTTTTTTTTCTTCTTCTTCTTTTCTTTATATCTGCTGTACCATCTTTCTGTGTTGCTTCCGGCACATTCTCTAAATGATTCTGGTTGAATGCCAACTGCAAAGATGACAGGAAATTGAAAACATTCCTTCTTAAAATGATACTCAGTGATGCTAACAATATGGGACACTCAGACATTTTTGTTACTCTCTACCTCCTAAGTAATGCAAAGAGTAAAACACAAAATGGAAAGTCATGTATGCCATTTTAGAGGAAATATCTACAATGTCCTCATCAAAAAGGAAATATCATTTTAGATGGTCTCCTTCAAGTAAAATGTTTTATAAATATGATAAACAAGAAAGAATATATACTTGTTGGTTTGGTTTGACAAGTTGGAGCTGATCTTTCAATAATAAAATATAAAAACTGTTCTCGGCTGATAAAAATGTATATTTGCAGTTTATTAGTTTTCTTTTAAGATTTTAAAACCAATAATTTGCTTAAACTTGATAAAATCAATTTACAAATATTTAAACAAATAATAAAATAAATTTTTTGTTATTGTTATACTTTTTTCTGGTTGGAATCTTAACAATGTAGATGAAATATGTAAACAAGTCAAACTTTTCACAGATTTAAAAATTATCCTGTTTTTTTGATGATTTCATTAAATGTTCATTTTAGATAACATGATATATGTATCTTTCAGTTTTTAACTAAAATCTTTTTCAACATAGAATATTGCAGTTCAAGAATTAAGATTTTTTAAATTATAATGACTGATTTTTTTATGGCTTATCAACCTTATGCAGGTTATTCAAAGCCAAAAAATATTTTTAGATTGTAATGATTTACTGATACAAGTCCTACTAATTAACCCATGGCTGGGGGAGAAGAGGTGTATTCATACCTTTCTCAAGGTTATTTGCACATAAGTGACTATAACAAATCCAACTGAGATTAGAACTCAGCTCTCTGCTTAACAATACTGAGCCATTATCCATTACACCAGCTGCATATCCAAGCTTACATCACCTGGTATTCTCAAGTAGTCAATCATCTAGGTACTGACCAGGCTCAATTTTGCTTAACTTTGGTGATCATATGAGAATCGGTGTTTCAACATGGTATGGCCATAAATCTTTTAAAGGATAAACATTTTGTTGTCTTTGAACTGCTAACAAATTTTTATAATGACTTTGAAAACAGACATGTTAAATAAATATATATTCAGATAATATATATAAAAATATAATAATGGGACAGAAGAGAAAAGTAAGTAATATTTTTTCTTATCCTTACTTTTCCTGATCTCTTTGTTTTAATAAATTTTATGTTATGCGAAGATATATGCTTTTAAAATGTCTGTTGTCAAAGCTACAATAAAATCTTGTCCTAACCAAAGACCATTTTCTATAATTCAAAGGAGGCTGGTGTAAGTTTTTCATTTTCAAATGCAATTATGATAAAGTTAAATTGTGCAGTTTGATGCTAATCTTAGAAAGTTTGAAAATGTCTTACAAAGTTGTAGTGTTTATAAATTAAGTCACAAAGTTTGCTCACAAATACATATGAAAGAAAATACAATCTGTACCTAACTTTAGATACAAACTTTCAAAAGCTACATGCTGAAATTGATTGTATGTTGTTTACAGAACAAACAGCAAGAAAACGGAAATCACTGTAATTGTTAGATTCAACAAAAAACATTTCATAAAACAATTTAAAAAATATTTTTTATTTACTTTTTATCTCAGCAAGAATTAGATAAGATAAGAATGCAAGTATTCGGATCCTTTCCAGAAAAATGCTTCTGTTAAATTTATTTGTAAGATCATGACATCTCCAGATTAAGGAGAGCTGGGAATTGTTATTGCTAATCTTTAAATGTTCAAGAACTACTGTACAGGAAAAAATGTGCATACAATTTTTACTCATTTCTTGTTTATTTCAATAGTAAAATTATATCTATAAATAATTCTCAGATAATAGGATTATTTTTAATAACTCATTTAAACAGTCTTTAATGGCCTCCAACCAATATTAAGCCACATTTTATTTATAAAAGAAATTATATACTAATTATCACTAAACTTATTTATAATTGTCATTAAAGTACTGTCAAGGGTTTTTCCTTGCTTCTTTCCATCCTTTTATTATGGTAATGGTGAGATTAACCATTTCCATACAAGTAATATTCTGCATTTATTGACTGAATGGTTAATGTTACAATTGGTTGAAATTTATAAAATCTTTCTCTTAAAACAATTTTTCAGAAAAATAAGTTTCTCAAATCCAATAACTGTTATCGCTCTTTGAGGTATGGAAGAAGGTTTCCTTCATAACTTTTTTAAAGTTGTATAGAAAGTTAACATCTTGATGTGCTATCCATTTTAATTGTTGCTTCTTTTGGTAGTCTTCAAGTGATAGGATTTTTGATAAAGTTGTTTGTTGTGATTCTGTAGCACTAGTCTGGTAGATCTAATGAAGATGTTTAAGACCTGAAATGTTCATTCACTTGAAGCCATTCTTAATCACATCTAAGAAAACTTGTACATAACTGATATTACAAAAAGTTAAAATTACTCTGTAATTAACAGTTAATATTCTTGAAGTTACCTTCCTTGAACAGGAAATGTTTTACTTTGCATAATTAACTAAAACTCACTCAAAAACTGGTGGCCTAATTAGACTGAAAAAGGCTTTATCCTTCAAGTTAGACTATTTTTACAGTAATGCACTAACACATATCATGTGATGATGTACTGTTTTTACTCTCATAGCAAGAAACACACATCCAACTATTACCAAGTTTTAGAATGTCTGTCAACACTTACACAAAAATGATTAATGCTTTTTATTTATTAATATGACATTCTTGAAAATAACCTAAAATAAACCTAGCCTTTCCATGTTCTTGTCCAAAAATTAACTTAAATTGTCCTTGTTATTGTAACACTCAGGAATGTCAATATTTCACTTGCATCCATTTATGCATATTTACTAACAGTAAACAGGAGAGACAAATACACCTTTCTACTCTTATACACATTTATAGACATAGTCATATGCAGGGTTCACACAGAAACACATATGTAATATATACATATCTTCAAGTAGACAGAAATATCAGCCAGGCCTCCTATGTCATCAGACAGTAAAATAATATATGCAGTAGGTGGTAAGTGGGCCACTTACGTCATTGCGTGTATCAATGGACACCTATCAGAGTCAGGGTTACTCTTGCATTTGCCAAATCAACTACTCAGCAGTGTTCTAATAAGGCCCTACCCCTTTCTCTGCAAACAATCTTATCTCACCTCTTCCTGGAGGCATTCACTATCTCATTGCTTTCCTCTTTAACTGTTTTGACATCAGATTTTCAGCCCACCTAATCACTTTTTTTCCAATATTAGCATCATGAAACCAACTTCTGAAGATAGCTTTTGGATTTTATTTTTATTTTTTCAATTAGATTTTCATTTTATATCTGACTCATAGATTGAAATTGAGTCAGCCAAGTTGGTTATTGCTTCTTTTTAAGTTTGCATATCTGTTCTTTCTATCTGATTCCAGTCCTATCTCAAGTATTATTGTTGAGCCCAGAAAAAATATTACTGCAGTTAACCCTCCATATTTGTAAGTGTTATAGGCATAAGATCCCTGAAAAATAGAAAAAACAATGAGTATTCCTCCCCATCAGACCTTAACAATTCATGCCATGGGCCATATTTAATACACTTCTATCTTTTAAAAAGGACTGAAAGAAAACAAAAATTTGATTATTTTTTTTGCATTATTTACAAAAAGTTTTGTGCTGTTCAAATTGGTATTTACATTGAGATTTTTCTTTTATCTTTTATTATACCATGACATATTGATCACGATTATGTATCCCATAACCTCTTTGAGTCATAGGAGTAAACTTTTCTTTAGTAAAGGCTTGAATTTTGGTTAATTTGAATTACTGTATTTGGTGGCATATATGACCCCAGTTTTTTCCCCAAATATTAAAAATTCATCTTGATTGTTATAGATGTTATTATAGGCCATCATATTATAGCCATATTTATATAGCCATCATCAGATGTCCTTTGTTGGGCTAATATAGGATATCTGTTAATTTTTGCCATGATTTTTCACAATGGCATCAGTTATAGCTTGTTTCTGCTAAAACAAAACTTCATTATCAAGAGATTGAACTTGCAACTAGTAGATAACAGTAACACATTTTTAATCAACTATTCATTATGCCACCATCCTGAAGGACAACAGTGGTATATTTTGGAGCATTTTGTAGTTTGATGCTTTTGACATCATAGCAGGTTTGATATTTTTGTACTTCATTTTTGAGATGAGTCATTGTCAATATACTGCTTTCATTTATTTTGAGCTATTGGTCACACCTTGGTTGTGATAGATATTATTATAGACACAACAACTGATTATCTCAAAAATGAAATACAAAATTATCATAAATCACCCACTAGGAAACCCAAATGCCAAAACTATATGATATTAAATATAAAGCTTCCCAAAATACATCACTGATGTTGAAAATGTTGCATAGTAGATATAGGAATTAGTTAAACACGTTATTGTCATCTAGGAGCCATGAGATCACTCTGTGGATGAGGTAGTGAAGCACTGGTTCTTCAGAAACAAGCAAAAACTGGCATCACAGAGACAAAATAACAATGTTTAACAGATATCCAATTTCAGTCAAAGAATTGACACCATAGGGTACTTGGCTGAAACATTGTCTATAATAAGAAACAAGATTAGAACAATAACTTAAAGTCATATAATGAGAATTAATCACTTCAAAAAGAGATTTTGTTAGCCAAATAAAAAATATGGTAGGAATAATTTTCACTGTTCTATCCATAGAATGTTTGTTTTCTAAATTTTCCATGTTGAAACAGGGGGAACAGTGTTATATGCCATAAAATATTGTAATACTTATGTAAAATTTGATTTAATATAGTTTTATAAAGTTGCTTAAAATCCAAAGCTTTGAACTTGATGAAGTAAGCTTTTACTTTCTTTATGCGAACACAACTTACCTCTCTTTTGATAATTTTCCACTTTATTTTTCTTTTTTTTTCCAATTATTATTCACTAATCAGAAGGTTGCCTCTCTATGCCTTTTCTATAAATACTTTCATCATAATTGTTTGGATTACCTCTTCTCCATGGTACTTTTTTAATTTAAACGCAGTACTAAACTGGCACCGAGATCTGATCAATTTACAGTTGAGTTGGTTAGATGTAGCTGTAAGTTCTATGCTAACAGTTTCTCTTTTCATACTTCTCATTTGTGGAACTCCCTTCTGGCTCCATGCTTTCCAGCCAACTTTAATCTGCAAAAATTTAAATGCAATGTCAATCACTATCTACTATCCTCCTGATTAGGCTTTTCTCTTCCTGCTCATTATTAATGTTTCTGTTCCTAATTCTTCCACACCCTGTAACCACTTGTGTCTTAGTGGCTTTACTGTCTTGCATGGGGTGATACTAATTGAAAAAACAAAAAATGATCTCTATATGACCCTAGTTCACTTCACTTGATTCAAAACAAGTCCATCTATTCATTACTTGTTCAGCCACTTGAACTTTCATTCTTTTTCTATTTACTGCTTCTACAGTTCCTTGAATCTCATCCATTCCAAATGATCCAATAATCTTCCTTCCATATTTTTTCATTAACCTTTCTATATCTAACCAAACTTTGTACTATGAGACTGTCCCACCTTAGAATCTCTACTCCTCCTCCTTCATTTATTACTTCATCCATCTACTATACACCTTACACAAATCTGACCCACACCAAAGCTCCATGACCTCACTCCCAGTGTGTCAGTTACCTCCTTCCATTTTATCAATATAAATTGTCATGCCCAGCAAATCTTACTCATCCATTTCCCCTTCTGCTTTTCCCTCCTATTTCATCTATTATATCCATTTGACAACCACTCTGATGAACCTTTCCATCTTCCAATCTCCTCAAATACCACTATATTTATTCCACTTAACTACATCCATATCCACCTCTCCAAAAGTGGCATCTTCCAAATATTTCTCCACGTGAAGAAATCGCAATGTTTGCATCACTGCACACAACAATCATCCACATTT